GGCTGCTAACTAAAAGGTTGGCGGTTCGAATCCACCAGCCGCTCCTTGGAAACCCCATGGGGCAGTTCTCCTCTGTCCTGTAGGGTTGCTATGGTCAGAATCAACTAGTCAGCAACTGGTTTGGTTTCAGGGTATTTGTAAATATGACCCTGTTTGGAAATAAGGATTTTTCTTTTGTTATGGTAGTGAGGTCAGGTCAGAGTAGGGTGAGTCCTAGACCTAATCACTTTTGACTTATAAAGAGAACCAGAATAGACAGACACGGGGGAAGAAGAAGATAGACAATAGAGACAGATGCATCTTCAATCCCAGGATGTCAAGGATCATTGGCAGCTACTAGAAGTTGAAATAGGAACTGAAGGACCTCCCCTTGGAGCCACGCCCTGAATTCAGACTTCTAGCCTCTTTGAACTGTGAGAAAATAAATTTCTGTTCTTTAAAGCTACCACATGTGGTATTTCTGTTACAGCAGCACTAGGAGACTGAGATTTCAACATATCTTTTGGAGGACATGGTTCAATCTGTCACACTCATGAAAATACCTACCAGCTGCCCAGAGCCCTCACAGCCATGTCCCCGAGTCCACAGTCACAGATCCTTCCATCCTTCTTCCTCCTCAAACACTTCCATCTCCTGCTATGGCCCATTTCCTCCACTGAATGTCAGCAGAGAAAAGTTGTAGAGAGAGAGCCACGGAATCCAATGTTAGAGTTAGAAAGGACCTAGAGTGTTAAAACTCATCACTAAGGCATGGAGAACTAATATAATATCTACTTCTCATGGGAATATTTGCACTTTAAAAGTGGAAATGTGCCTTAAACCAGAGAAGCCAAACAGTGAGAGGTTAGTACCGTTTCTCAAACATTAAAGCCAGGGTGGGGTCAAGAAGTAGAAGCAGGAAGAGGCACCAACTGTAAAGTCCCTGAGGGACATGGACAGGAGGTGACACCAATGGCTGTGCCTGTCCCTTGGGAATCCCAGCAGCTTGTAGAGACGGGTGGATGGGGGTGGCCATAGTTATGTGGGGCTGGAGGTGAGGTTTGGGGACCACTTGCAGAAGGATTAGCAGTAGCTGTAGGTCTCTACCCTGACCAGACTGGATAAATGGCTCGTGGTGGAATTTGACACCATTGGAGGACGGAGAAAGCTGGGTCAGGCTGGGGCAGGGCACACCTCAGTAGAAAGAGGCCAGTCCTCTCTCTCCCTTCATTTTGCTGGTGTTGACCACCCTTCTGCCTGTAAATGCCAGAGTCTTCTGGCCTACTAACCTCAGAGTCTCACCCAAGCTTTCCACAGAGCACCTCCTGCAGCTGGGAACTTCTGCCCGGATTGGGAATGAATGGCTCTTCTCAGGAGTCTCTCTCTGTGGAAGGATGGGAAGACCTTTGTATAAACCCAGGAGTGTTGGGTTGAATAGCATTCCCCTCAAAATAAGCCCACGTCCTAATCCCTGGAACCTGTGAATTTGACTTTATTTGGGGAAAGGGTCTTTGCAGATATAATTAGACAAGGATCTCAAGATGAGATCACCTTGGATTATCCAGGTGTGCCCTGAATCCAATGACAAGTACCCTTATAAGAAGCTCACAGAGAGGAGGTAATGTGACCATGGAGGCAGAGATTGGAGTGATGCGCCCACAAGCCAAGGAGTGCCTTGAGCCATCAGAAGCTGGAAGAAACAAAGAACGAATTCTCACCTAGAGCCTTTGGAGGGAGTGCAGCCCTGCTGACACCTTCACTTTGGACTTCTGGCCTCTAGAACAGTGAGAGAACCAATTTCTGCTATTTTAAACCACAAAGCTTGGGGTGATTTGTGACAGCTGCCACAGGAAACTAATATACCAGGTCCAGAATTTTACTTCTCTCCCAACCCCAGAATCCCTGTAACTAAAAGAAAACTGCAGTTTCTTTTGTTTTCCCTGCCTAAATATTTCTCAATAAAATGATGAGTATTAAGACCCCAGGCTACAGCTTTATCTGGTCATCCTTACAGGAGTGTTTATTAGTCTCGTCCAGGGAAGGCTGGTGGTGGAATGTCTCGGAGTCTGTCTTAGGCTGGGTTCTCTAGAGAAGCAAAACCAGTGAAGAGTGTATATATATATATATATATATATATATATATATATATATGTATATAGAGAGAGAGACAGAAAGAGATTTATACCAAGGAAATGGCTTATGTGATTATGGAGGCTGGAAAGTCTCAAGTCCATGGGTCAGGCTGGAGGCTTCCCCTGATTCACGTAGCTACAGGGCTGACGAACCCAAGATCAGCAGGTCAGATAGCAGTCCTCTGGTTTACAGGCTGCAGAGGTTGACGGATTCCAAGACTGGCAGGTAAGCTACTAGCTCAAGTCCCAAGAACCAGAGGTCAGATGGCAGGTGAGCCAGATGCAGGAGCCAGAGGGAGCAAAAGCCCACAAGCCTTGCCAGAAAGTCCACCAATATTGGATGCAGGCCACACCCCTAAGGAAACTCCCTTTCAGCTGATTGGCCACTCATAACAGATCTCGTCACGGAGATGATCACATTATATCAGATCTCATCATGGCGGTGATTACATCAGTATACAACTGCCAAACTACATCATAATAGCCAAACCACTGAGAATCATGGCCCAGCCAAGCTGACACACAACTCAACCATCACAGAGCCCCACTGGCCATCTGCAGTCATCAGTGTCTTAGTCTCTGTTTACTATCGACACCTGTGTCCTAGCCCTCCCCGGGGCAGTCAGAATGCCAGCAGCAAATGACACACAGAAAGGATGGTTTCTCAGCCTCCATCTCTGCTCTCAGCTCTTAGAAGCTTCTCTTTCAACGTCGAGAGCCTTGGTTCAGGGCAGCCAGGCCACGCTGGCTCAAAGCAGCCACCGTCTCCCCAGAGCCCTGCCAGCTGCCTGGTCTCTGAGCCACCAAAGACATCCTTGAGTTACTAAGCACTTTTTGGAGACAGGAATTCCAGAAATGGCACTAGGTTCCTTCTGGACGGCACCATAGTGCCATGCCTGCCTCAGAAAGAAAAGCAGTTGTCTTTCCACCTAGAGCTGTAGTTTCGAAGGAAACCCTTCTTGAAATCAAAGCTTCAGGGAAACCTGGAACATAAAACAGATAATTGTGGGCCTAGTCGAGACCAGAGTCCTGGGTGGAGGATGGGGACAGAGGGTTATGTATCTAGGCTTTCTTCCCATTCCCCTGTCTCTCGTGCCCCGCCCTTAACCCAGGCCTCGGGGAGTACTGCTTGAAAACCCATATCTCAGACAAGGACTGCTGTGTGCCAAGAAAGGGTACGGATACTAGGTCTCACTTACTCCCACATTTTCCACTCTGGGAGGTCAACTCTTCAAGAAAGGCTGAGTTCAGTTCATCTTTGTGTGTGTACATTGTTGTCAGCTGCTGTCAAGTTGGCCCCCTGCTCATGGCGACCCCACACACAATGGAACAAGATACTGCCAGGTCTGGCACCATCCCCATGATCGGTTGCAGATTGGACTATTGTGATCCCCAGGATTTTCATTGGCTGATTTTTGGACGTAGATCACCAGGCCCTTCTTCCTAGTCTACCTGAGTCTGGAAGCTCTGCTGAAACCTGTTCAGCCTCACAGCAACACACAAGCCCCCAATGACAAATGGGTGGTGGCTGGCTTCTTATGAGGTACATTGGCCGGGAATCAAACCTGGGTCTGTTGCATGGAAGGCAAGAATTCTACCACTGAACCACCGATGCCTTGTTCATATAGTAGGTGTTCAATAGATGTTTCAGACTAACATAAATGTTCTTTAGGAAGAGTCAGATAGAACATTTACTACTGTTGTTTTTAAAGGTGGCTTTTTAGGGTACATCTCTCTCAGCAGATGCTACTTCACCAGTTCAAATCTGTAGTCCACGAGTTGGGCGTCAAGGCAGTGTAATGATAAGGAGAGAAATTCCTCTTGATTTTCGGGGGATGACGTTTTCTGGCCTGCACATCACCTGTCTCCTTGAGACTGCATCATGCATTGCAGAACCAGACAGAGAGCTGTGCTGGGTTTTCTAAACCAACATCGGGACCACAAACTGGCTTTCTCTTGGCTTGAAATGACATGGTGGGGAGAACATGCTTCTCCTGAACAGCGTGTGGTTACGAGCTTGGGGTCTTGGGTTAATTTTCCCAGATCAACGCCCCCACTAGCTCTTTAACCTTGGGCAAGTTACTTAATCTCCCTGTACTTCACTCTGCTCATCTGTAAAATGGGATGATAACAAAACCCAAGGGACATGCTGGGATCTCCTGGGGTCCCTGTCACCAGCTCTTTGCTGCACCCCCAGTTATGTGTGCTTCACTTCCCCCTGCTCATGCGTCCTTCACCCACAGGGGTGGAGGGCCAGGAGTGCCTGGGGGTTCAGGTCCCCCAGGGGCAGCCCATAGCCTGGGACTGAGCCCCTGAGATAATGCAAAGGGCACAGCCTTCTGTGGTGAGCTGAGGGTTTGGGGTGTTTGCATTTGGGGTTTTATAGGAAGAGTGAAGGGGCACGTAAGGACCTCAAGAGGGGGTGATCACCTCATCCCTGTTACCTGGGAATTTCCCGGTTTTAGCACTGGTTGCTGTGTGTCTCGGTCCCTGGTGCTAGGTGGCTTTAAAAAACAGAAATGGATTTTTTCACAGTTCTGGAGGATACAAGCTTCGGTAGGGTTCTGGGCTGCGTCCTTCCGTGTAGGAGATCCTGGATTCCTGTGTCCCTGGGCTTGGGGTCTGGGCAGTGTCCTTACAGGAGATCCGGGGTTCCTGCCTCCCTGGGCTTGGGGTCTGGGCTGTGTCCTTGTAGGAGATCCTGGATTCCCGTGTCCCTGGGCTTGGGGTCTGGGC